AGATTTTTGGCTGGCCCAGACTCAAGTTCCCTAACTAGCAGACTCTTGAGTCCTTCCTAGTACATCACTGCTCTAAAACAAAGAAGTCAGGAGTGGGAAAGCTTGACCTTAAAAGGACAAGAACTATGGTGTCATAGCCCTTCTTCCTGTAGGAGTTCCAGCCCAGGGCCCTGCACCATGAAACCATGATGCGTCTCTCATGGAAAGGACTGTCAAGCCCTGTTTCAAGAGTATGAAATCCTCCTGATGTCCGCTGGGCATCTACTTAGAAAAATGGACAAAAGGAGCAGGTGCTGAAGAGAAGCTGCTGTGGGATCAGTTAACCTCGGTGCAGAGTTGCACTGGCAGCCTTCCCATTCACTTAGCAGAGGATATTTTACAATAATTTCCACCCTGTATTTTGGGTTCTGTGACTCCAGCTCCTCAGTACTGCTGGCTGCCAGCCCCTGGGGTCTTCTGGGAGCAGCTCCTGGCAGCTGCATCCAGAATGATGGTGAACAGAGGCCCAACTGGATGTGGCGACCATGCTGCTAGCATAGCTGTGGTCTCGGAAGTCAGGAGCAGGCCAGGTGGCTGTGCCTGGAATGAGGGCAACAGAGCACTTGAGCTACCAGGCCAGGTGGTGAACAGCTCAGGGTTCTGACTAGTTTGTCTGAGGTGCCAAGAAATGCAGAATGCTTAAAGTGACCTGGGAGGTCCTCTCTCAACATCCGTCTGCTCAAAGTCCTGAAGCCGCTCAGGGAAAACTGATTCCTGGCGTATAAACAAGCTTATTTTCCTTCTCTGAGACTATCTCCTGAGGCTGGACATTACTGGAAAATATACAAATAGAGATGATCAAGTCTAACTTTCTGCTTCCTGACATTTCTCATTGCTATGATGAGAAAGGAAACTGAGTACAAATAATAGCAATAATAATAATAATAAAACCAACATAATGGCAACTTTTATATTCAGGTTTTCTATGGGCCAGACAATACACTAGGCACCTTAAATGTATTATCTTGTTAAATTCACACAACATCTTTGAATTACATACTATTTTCACTCCTGTTTCACAGATAAGAAAACAATTAGAAATACTTAACGCCTTTCCAATGTAACACAGAAAGTAGGTGGCAGAACCAAGATTTGAACTCAGGGGTGTCAGAGACCAGAGCAAGAGCACTTACTGAGCACGGCCCTCATAACATTTGCAGGAACTCTGTCCACGAAACTCACCCTATTTCTGCAATAGTCAAATGTATAGATTTCATATACTTTAATATATTTCAACAAACTGAGAAACCTTCTTTCCTCCCTTAAAAGTCGAGACAATTGTTATCTACTGTTGGTGAGAGTGTACGCTGGGACAACTGCTTTGGAAGAAACACTGGCATCATTTACTCAGTTGAAGATCTACCTATCCCATGATTCAGCAATTCTACTGCTGGGTATATGCCCAAGATAGATGTGTGCACATGTGCAGCAGAAGAAATGTACAAGAATGTTCATGACAGCAGAATTTGTGACAGCCCTAAACTTCAAATAACCCAAAAGTCTATCAATAGGAGAACAGATACCACAGAATGCCACACAGCAATAAAAAGCAACGAACCCAGTTACGTACAACAACATGGATGAATGTTGTACTCAGGAAGCTAGACACAAAGAACACATGCTGTATGATTCAGTTTACTTCCAACTTCAAACAGACAGAACTAAACTACAGTGTTTAGAGATTCATACTTAGGGGATAAAATTAGTAAGTGGACCAAGGAAATGATTACCATAAAAGTAAGAGAAGTAGGGAGGGGGAGGGAAGTGGTCATAATGGGTAGAGGCTGGGAGAGGCTTACAGGATGCTGGCAATGTTCTGGTATGAAGGTAGTTACATATGACTTGCTTTATAATAATTTGTTAAACCAAACATGTATATTTAATGCATTTTCTATATGTGTACAATATTCTATAATAGAAATGGTTTAAAAACAAGTTTATGGAAGGAAAAGGCAAAAAAAATGCAACTCTTGCTTTCAAATTCAGGCTAAAAAATCTTGATAAGCAGCTCATTTTAAGACATTTTAACTGACATAATCTGTCACCTCTGGAGTCACTGCCACCCTCTTTGCTGATCTGAAACTCCCCTACTCCCACCGTTTTAAATCATTAATGTTTTTCTTCTTAAAGAAATGTTTCCTGGAAGATGCAAGAAGGCAGAGGAGGAGGGAGGGAGGGAAGAGGAGCGGAGCTCCGCCCGGAAGCTAGGTGAGTTTGGCATCTGAGCCGAGGGACGTGAGCCTGCGACGCCGCTGCTGATCCGGGCTGAGTGTCTCGCCTCTCTCCCTGATGGGATTCCCGTCCGCGCCGTCTCGAGCCTGCTGCGCCCCAGTCCTCGGCCCTCGCCCAGGTTCACTGCAGCCGTTCAGAGGTCCCCAGGAGCTGCTGCTGGCGAGCCCGCTTCTTCAGGGACCTATGGAGCCATTCCGTAGTGCCATCCAGAGCAACGCACTGCCGCAGCTCCTCTGAGCCTTTCCAGCAAGTTTGTTCAAGATTGGCTGTCAAGAATCATGGACTGTTATTATATGCCTTGTTTTCTGTCAAGACACCATGATTCCTGGTAACCGAATGCTGACGGTCGTTTTATTATGCCAAGTCCTGCTAGGAGGCGCGAGCCATGCTAGTCTGATACCTGAGACGGGGAAGAAAAAAGTCGCCGAGATTCAGGGCCACGCGGGAGGACGCCACTCAGGGCAGAGCCATGAGCTCCTTCGGGACTTCGAGGCTACACTCCTGCAGATGTTCGGGCTGCGCCGCCGCCCGCAGCCTAGCAAGAGCGCAGTCATCCCGGATTACATGCGGGATCTTTACCGGCTCCAGTCTGGGGAGGAGGAGGAAGAACAGGTCCACAGCACGGGTCTGGTGTATCCTGAGCGCCCCGCCAGTCGGA